TTCCCCTGCCCTCTCTGCCCCCCCCCCCAGCAGGGGGCTGGCTCTGGTGCCCCAGCCACATAGTGGGGTGCTGAACCTTTGTGCGCCCTAGCATGGTGGGTGCACTACCTCGCTCCATCCTGTGGGGGATCCCCAAATCTCAGGGGACAAATCAAGGTTCTCTAACCCTGCCTTAGTTGTAAAAAGCCAAATATCCTTATCTAGGCAGTCCTCCCAATCTGGGGTTGTAATAGAACTTGTATCTTAAAGAGAAACTCATGTAGCCCCAGTCTCTTCTCCACCTCTAAGGCTCTCTGCTTCCCCAGTGCAAGAAGCACTGGCCAATCTCCCTGGCATTGTCTTAGAAGTGGAGTCTCTGATCTCTCTTCTAGCAAGAGGTGAATGGTAATCCCAGCTCTGGAGTCTGAGAACACCATGTATTCTGATTCAAATTAAAGTTAGGATGTCACTGATGCAAATTCAATCTTGTAATTCTAGCTGTTGAGTTTCCCTCTCTCTAAGTAGCCTGGATGGGACCATCAGAAGTGCAGCAGAAGGGCAACAGGAAACAAGCAGGTGGGACAGGCTCTCATGCAGGCTGTTAGCCTGAGACACTGTCCACCAGCTGCAAAGGGTCAGTGTTTCATTTTTCCAGATGTTGTTCCAGAGAACCTGAGCATTGTTTTTTTGTTTGTTTTTTCTCCTTCTGTTCCTAAAGCTCCTGTACTTGGAGGTTTGTGAAAGTTTCTGAGTCCATTCCATATGAGAAGTCACTTGGAGTTCCTGGAGCTGATTGGATTTACAGGTCTCAGGGCTGGAGCCCTCTCTGCCTTAACTGTCAAGGAGCTGGGAATGACTTGCCATGTCCCCAGATGTGGACACTACCTGGAGCTCATTTAATTCTCTTTCCAACATGAACCATATTGCCAAATTCTCTGAACTTTGTGACTTGTCTCTGACACTGTTATATACCCATGATTGGGCTAGATCTGAGGTCTACTATTGCTTTTAAGTGGGAAATTGTGCCTCTCATGCTTCTGGATCACTGTTTTCTAGTTTTCTCAAGTTCTGGTGCATTTTTAGATTTTCCTTTGTCAAGATTTTTCATAATTCTAGACACTTCCTTGTTGAAGATCCTGCATATTGTTTCATGATAGCTTTGCCATGCGTCTGGCTACTCTTCTTGCCTTTCTGCGGCCTGCACTGCCACTCATTCTGGGCCTCTCCTTGGGATGCAGTCTAAGCCTGCTGCGTGTCTCCTGGATCCAGAGTGATGGAGAGGATACTTGCATGGACACAGGGGTAAACAATGGGCTGTTCGCAGGGAAAATGCAGCAGGACTCTGTTGCTGGAGGAGGACCAGGACGGAATGAGGACTTCAAGCCCAGGATTGTTCCCTACTACCGAGACCCCAACAAACCTTACAAGAAAGTGCTCAGGTAGGAGACATTCCTTTTGAGCAGGTCATCGTGAGGTGAAGGTGACCTCCTAGAACTAACGTGGGGCTGAAACTAACATCTACTCTTATGGGCTAAACAGGGTTAGACTGGGTTAGTTGGTTGAAAATGTAACTAAATATAGTATTCTAAAACATCTGGAAGATTATGATGTGGCAGGGTATAACCAACACAGTTTTGCTAAGGGAAAAATGTCTTCCACTAATCTATTAGAATTGTTTGAATGTGGCAAAGAAGCAGATAAAGGAGAAGCAACTTTGTTGAACTTTGAAAATGGCTTTGGTAAGATGTTTCACAGGAGCCTGTTAAAGAAATTCAGTAGTCCATGGGTGAGAGACAAAGTCGTCTTGTGGATCACCTGCTGGCTAGGAAAAAGAAAATGAAACAGGAATAAGTAGTCCGTCCTTACCATGACAATCTAATAGTCAGTGCCTCAAGGTTCCATTGTAGGATCTGAATTGTTTAGTATATTAATGATCTGGAAAGGAGGGTTTGCAGAAGAGTGCGCTCACTGCAGGCATTCCCCTACATCAGTCGGTGTGGTGTTTGTAGAAATCTTCCCTACTTGGTGGTCCCTATGGATAATGGCTCAGCAGTGTCTGTCTTCCTATAACTCAGCCCTCTGAACAGGCCACAATTTAGGGTACCAAAAAACTCAACAAATAAAATGTCCAATCTCTCTATCTAGTCTGTTGCAGTTGATTTTGGTCCCAGTGGTTCATAAGCCCTTTCCTCAGGACTTACAGACATCTTTTCCCTTCTTACAGGCTTCACAAGTGGTTGTAGAGGAACCCAGGTCTATTTATATAGTAGGTTCCAGGTAGGCAAGTCAATCCCTCAGACTTCTTGCTGCCATTTCCCTTGACTCATACTAAGCCTGTAAGGAGGCCTGTCCCACAACCTCTCTGAGTTTGCCCTACTCACAGGGCTAAGACTCAGTATTCTCTCCTGGAATCCCCCAATAAATCCCAGAGTAAAGTGTAAGCTTAAACCCCCTTCTACCATCTTTAGGCTCAGTCTTTTATTCCTACTTTAGTCGTCAGTTGAATGTCTCCCATGGCTATTTCCATTTTCTGATCCCAGAGAGCATCTGCAGAGTTCCTACCTGTCTTATGCTTTATGGCGAAGCAGACTTATCTACTGAGAACAGCCATCACCTATATTCCCCATACAGCTATGCCAATAAATTCTTACCCTGCTATGTATCCTTATAAATGTAGTAGAGCTTTTTAAATTTTATCTCAAGACTAAGACCCTGATACTAAATTCAGCTGTCACCTTTTCTGTTATAGACTTCCTCTGTTTATATTGATTCATTATTCCTCTCCTCATTAAGATTAATTGGTCATGACTGGCCCACATTGCAGGTGTGGCCAAGCACTTTTTATTGATCTCCTAAACTCCAATTTTAATCCTTTTTCATTAGTGTTGAGTAGGCACCTCCCACCCCACAGGGATGAGCCATAATGTACCAACATTTGCATATGACATAGTTATTTTGATTAGTCTAGATCAGAGCAGACCATGAAAAACTTCTGGGACTGTATCAAGCTGCATGAATGGGCAACATAATGGTACATTGAATTCAGTGATACAAACTGCAAAGCAGTATGCACTGGAGGGGGAAAAGTAATCTACTTATACCTTATATGTTTCAAAATCAACTAAGGAAAGCGACCTGGTGTCTTTATAGACAGCTGCGTGGAAATACCTGTTCAGTCTGCAGATAAGGTCAAAAAAAGCAAACAAGATGTTTGGTTACACTAAGAATAGAAAGCAGAATAATAAGCAAAAAAATAACATTTCTATAAGTCAGTGGTTTGGCCTCATCTGGGTACTGCATGCAGCACATTGTAGAAGAGAGTGGGTTCAGAGAGGGAGAACAAGAAAGATTAGGTGATGGAAAAATATCGTACTTCAGAAAAGAAACAAGGGAAGATGATTAAGTATATCAAATAATGAGGGGTTACAGAGAGATTAGCAACTAATCTTCCTAGCTCAAACACAAGAAAAAAGGGGACATTCAATTAAATTGAAAGGTGGGAAATTCAAAACTTGTCAAAGTAAATGCTTTTTATTCAGTGCCACAGGGAGTCAAGGCTGAATTTATAGACTCATAAAATACTAGAACTGGAAGGGACCTCAAGAGGTCATCAAGTCCAGTCCTCTGCCCTCACGGCAGGACCAAGCACCATCTAGATCATCCCTGACAGATGTCTATACAACCTGTGCTTAAGTATCTCCAGTGATGGAGATTCCACAATCTCCCTAAGCTAGTGTTTCCCAAATGGCATTCCACGGAACCTTGGGGTTCTGCGAAGTGAAAATAAGGGTTCTGCGAGAAAATGCCATTACAATAACATTTTATGATTTAAAAAAAATTATATTTAAGCATTTATACATTTTAATGAAAACAGTTTTCATTTGTGTTGATCTTATGACCTTGTTTAGCATTTGTTTGTTATTATCCTTACTTATTTGTGGTCTACTTTTTCAGCTCCATATATAAGATTGTTATTAGGGGTTTTGCAAAATTCTTTCGAGTTAAAAAGGGTTCCATGGCCAAATAAAATTGGGAAACACTGCCCTAAGCAATTTATTCTAAGGATGTTCAGTAGCAAGTAAATGGCTAATCATGTACATGATACAATTTGTATAAAGTACATGATTAGTCAAAAAGGGCTGCTGAGGCTCTGCAGTTCAAATGTAGTAGAAGCTGGGTGCGTAGGCATCCCAGCTCCTACTCCATTTTAAACTGCAAAGTTGCAGCAGGTGTAGGTTTGGGGCCCAGGACGAGCCGGAACTGAAGCAATGCCAGTTCATGCTGGGTCCAGACTGCTACAGCTTTGCCTTTTAATTGTAGTAAGAGCTGTCTACCTCTTAGTACATTTAAAAACAGCACTGCTGTGCTTCTGCCTCCTTTTGCCCGCCCCTACCACACCGTGGAGATGGTGCTGAGTGGAACTGGCTTTTAAGCTGGCTCCCCTCAGTACTGGCTCCTGCTCCCTCCCCTCTTGCAGTGGGAGAGTGGGGGAAATTTGAGTAATCAACTAATGGACTACTCTTTCACATCCCTAATTTATTCCAGTGTTTCACCACCCTGACAGGTAGGAAGTTTTTCCTAATGTCCAACCTAAATCTCCCTTGCTGCAGTTTAAGTCCATTGTTTCTTGTCCTATCCTCAGAGGCCAAGGAGAACAAATTTTCTCCCTTCTCCTTGTAACACCCTTTTAAATATGTGAAAACTGCTATCATGTCCTCTCTGTCTTCTCTTTTCTAAAATAAACAAGCCTAATTCTTTCAGTCTTTCCTCATAGGTCAAGTTTTCTAAACCTTCAGTCGTTGTTGTTGCCCTTCTCAGGACCTTCTCCAATTTCTCCATCTTTCTTGAAATGTTATGTCCAGAACTGAACGCAATACTGTAGTTAAGGCCTAATCTGCACAGAGTAGAGCAGAAGAATGACTTCTGAAGTCTTGCTCACGATGCTCCTGTTAATGTATTCCAAAATCATGTTTGCTTTTTTGCAAGTGTCATACTGTTGACTCATGTTTGCCTTGTGGTCCACTTTCTGCAGTGCTTCTTCCTAGACAGTCACTTCCCATTCTGTATGTGCGAAACTGATTGTTCCTTCCTAAGTGGAGCACTTTGCATTTGTCTTAAACAGGATGAAGTTCAATAATCTCAGACCATTTCTCTAGTTTGTCCAGATCATTTTGAATTATGACCTTGTCCTCTAAAGCAGTTGCAAACATTCTCCCCCCAGCTTGGTATCATCTGCAAACTTAGTAAGCATACTCTCTCTGCCAATAAGAACATAAGGACAGCCCTACTGGGTCAGACTAATGGTCCATCTGGCCCACTATCCTGTCTGCCAATAGTGGTCAATACCAGATGCCCCAGAGGGAGGGAACACAACAGGTAATCCTCACATGATCCCTCCCCTGTTGATGAAGATAAATTGTTGATGAAGATATTGAACAGAATTGGTCCCAAAACAGACCCCTGTGCATCCTCACTTGTTATGCCCTTCCCACATGACTGTGAACCATTAATAAGTACTCTCTGAAAACGGTTATCCATCCAGTTATGCACCCATCTTATAGTAGCCCCATCTAGGTTATATTTCCCTAGTTTATTGCTAAGACTTATAATAGTGCTAGTATAAATTTTGGAAGAAGTATTTAACCTCATGCTTCTGGGTATGAACCAGTTTAACTACAAAAGATTAGAAGATTTCTTGAAGCTTCTTTTAAAACATGTGGTGCTGACTATTATTAGAAACAGGATAACGGACCTCAGTTCTGATCCAGTCTGGCAATTTCTGTGTTCCTAGTGCTTGGAGAAGAGACAGAGGCTGGAGGGAGCAGTGTGGGCGCTTGGTGGGGACTGTACTCCCATTTTAGTCAGTGCTGATCCTAATGCTGTCATAGCACTATGGGGTGTTACACAGCTGGTTGGATAGATTTCTTAAGGTCAGTTTCCCCTCTGAGACAGTGCTACCAGACTGCTATCTTTCAGACAAGATATAAGATCAAGTTCCTGATCATTTGTGGCACTTCTGCAGAAGTTGAGATGTGATCTCCAGAGTGTCCCATGATCTCTCATTTTTTCATTTTGCCCCCTTCAACTCCCCTCCCCCACAATTTCTGTTGAATGCTCTACACTTCTTCCCATTAACCAGGGGTGGGGAACCTCAGGCCCGGGGTCTGGATGCAGCCCCTGAGGCTTAGGGGGCCCCCCACTTTAAGTCTGGAGCACACACAATCTATTCCCCTCGCCTCTCCCCCTGGGCTCAGGTGTGTGAGGTTGAATGCAGGGAGTGTCTTTCACCTCAGTCAGGGGCCATGTCAGTAGGGGGTGGTTTGTTTCTCACTTGTATGCAGCCACCAACTGACTTTTCTGTAGATCAGCAGCCCCTGACCCAAAAAAGGTTCTAAATTCCTATTCTAAATTGTTGTTCAGCATTACTGAGTGGCTGTTAAACCACTGCTAAATCCCAGCCCACAGGGGGCAGTCTTTCATTAGTGGATGATGCCATCTCTCTCTCTAGTTGGGTGCAAGTGTTAGAATGCTTATTGGTTTGGGTTTCTGTGAAGAGGGAAGGAGCTTTAAAACGTGAGAATTAGTAATGGGTCCACATAGCTAAGCCCTAAATCAGCTTTGAAAGGAATTGGACTATTTGAAACATCAGCTGTGGGTGTAGGTGCCCCTTCTGCCTCTGATCCAACTACGAGCTCAGATCTGTTTCCCTTCTCACAGCTGCTTGTGTTGTAACTGTAATTGTGTTTTCCCTGCAGGACTCGCTATATTCAGACAGAGCTGGGCTTCCATGAACGGCTCTTTGTGGCTGTGCTCACGTCCAAGGCAACCATGAACACACTGGCTGTGGCAGTGAACAAGACAGTGGCCCATCACTTCCCGCACCTGCTATATTTTACAGGGTTGCGCAGTGCCAAGGTGCCACATGGCATGGTGCTGGTGTCACATGGGGATGAACGTCCAGTCTGGCTGATGTATGAGACCATGCGCTACATCCACCAGCACTTTGGGGGTGACTATGACTGGTTCTATGTCATGCAGGATGACACCTATGTCCAGGCTGAGCAGATTAAAGCCCTTGTGACACACCTAAGCATTAACCAGGATGTCTACCTAGGACGGGCTGAGGAGTTCATTGGGGGGGATGAACAAGCCCGCTACTGCCATGGTGGCTTTGGCTACTTGCTTTCCCGAAGCCTGCTGCTCAAGCTGCATCGGCACCTGGACAGCTGCCGTAATGAGATTCTCAGCGTGCGCCCGGATGAGTGGCTAGGACGCTGCATCATTGACTTCCTTGGCATTAGTTGTGTCTCCCAGCACCAGGTATTGTCTCTCCAGGGGCTAGGGCACAGCCTTAACCCAATAGATTCCACATCCTCACAACCTTATGCCATAGGGCAAAGGGGAGAGGGCCACAAAACCTATGCTGTGAAGTACTGGAAGTAAGAAGATGCAAGAGGGGGAATAATTGTTTATGGGAGGCCACTCCAAGATTTTGGTAAATGTTAAAGGGGCTGCACTTCTATGGAGGGGGTGTGAAGTCTGGGATGGAAGTTGGGTTCAGATGGGAGCTTGGGGCAAGGGACTGAAGTGCAGTAGAGTTTGTGGGCTCTGAGAGGGAGTTTGGGTGAAGGAGGGTGGTGTGATCTGGGACAGAAGTTTCAGATGCAGGGTCCAGCAGTGGGAATGGGTGCTGGAGAGGATTCTGACCTGGGAGAGGGGCTCTAGGAGGGGATGCAGGGTCTGGGAGGGAGTTGTGACCTGGGAGAAAGGTGAAAAGAGGGTTCAGAGGATTTGGGTGATGACCTATGGCAGGCGAATGGTGTACAAGTTCAGGGAGAGGTTATGGGTGGAGGAGAGGATTCTGGTCTGGGGGAGGAGCATAGGAAGGGGTGCAGGATCTAGGAGGGAGTTGTGACCTGGAGAAAATAGAGAGAGGGAGCCCAGAGGGTTTGGGTGGTGACCTGGAGAAGGAGGAGGTGGTAGCCTGGGGCATGTAGTTGGGGAAAGAAGGGGAGAGAGGGTGCCGGAGGCAGGCCATAGCTGGGAAGCACTTACCTAGGCAAGTCCCACCCAGCAGGCCTGCAAGAACCTGAGGCAGGCTCTCTGCCTGTCTGCTGCAGTCCCACGCTGCTCTCCATGTGGCTCTGCTCCAGGAATGGGGGTGGGAAGGAGGCTTTGAGTGCAGCCCCTATCCCCAGCAAAATTTCTCAGCTCCTATTGGCTGGAAACTAGCCAATAAGAGATGAGAGATTTTGCTGGGGTTAGGGGCAGTGTGCAAAACCTCCCAGCGTCCAAAGCAGAGAGCAGCCAGCTGTTTAAAGCATGAGCTGATCTGTGCCTAAGGGTCCCAGTTGAGTGGATGTGGACCAGATCCGGGGACTTGGCAGTCCATATCTAGTCTTTGGGCTGCATCTTGCCCACCCCTGGGCAAGAGCCTAGTTGTCACCTTCAACACTTGGGTAGTGGAGCTACTTGTCAGATCTCATCCACATCCTCCTGGGAAATTGCACTATTTTTCAAGAAGGTGGGAAGCGGCCTAAGATAGAATGTAAAAACAACTAGACTGGGTGAGACCAAAGGTCCATCTAGCCCAGTATCCTGTTTTCCGACAGTGGCCAATGCCAGGTGCCTGAGAGGTAATGAACAGAGCAGGAAATGGTGAAGTGATCCACCCTGTTCACCATTCCCAGCTGCTGACACACAGAGGCTATGACACCATTCCTGCCCATCCTGGTTAATAGCCATTGATGGACCTATCCTCCATGAATTTATCTATTTCTGTTTTGAACCCCTTTAAAGTTTTGGCCTTAATAACATCCTCTGGCAAATAATTCCACAGTTTGACTTTGCATTGAAGAAATACTTTTGTTGTTAATCCTGCTACCTAAGAATTTCATTTGGTGACTCTTGGTTCTTGTGTTGTGGAAGCAAGCAAATAACTTTTCATTATTTACTTTATAAAATCATGATTGATATGGAGAGACTTGTATCATATCTTCCCCCCGCCCTTGTCTCCTCTTTTTTTCTAAGGTGAAAAGTCCCTGTCTTATTAATTTCTCCTCATATGGCTGACTTTTTCCAATGCCAAGATACATTTTTTGAGATAAGACAAGCACATCTGCATGCAATATTCAAGATGTGGGCATGCCATGGATTTATGTAGAGGCATTAAAATATTTTCTGTCTTATTTTCTATCCTTTTCTTAGTGATTCCTAACATTCTGTTGCCTTTTTGATTGTTGTGGCACATTGAGTGGATGTTTTCAGAGAACTATGCACAATGACTCCATCATCTCTCTTGAGTGGTAACAGTGAAATTATTCCCCATGATTTTATACGTATATAGGTTAAACCTCTCTAGTCTAGCACCCTCAGGACCTGACCGGTTAAACCAGAGAATTTGCTGGACCACTAGAAGTCAGCATTGTCTAGTGGTATTACCAAAACTGCCACTGCTTACTGGGTTCTTAGAAGACATTTAGAGCTAAATAGCAGCACAGAACACTGAGAGCAAGGACTGGTGGCTGTGAACAAACTTTGAGTTCGCGGGAAATTTGGCCACACTCATGATATGTGGACATCCAGCTAATTAAAATCATGCCAGATGATGGATGTTGCCCGACAAGAGGTTCACCCTGAAGTTGAGTTTGTTTTCCAATTGCAAATCTTTGCATTTATCAACATTAAAATTCAGCTGCCATTTTGTTGCCCAATCACCTAGTTTTGTGAGATCTTTTTGAAGCTCTTCACAGTCTGCTTTGGACTTAACTATCTTGAGCAGTTTGGTATCATCAGCAGATTTTGCCACCTCGCTGGTTACCCCTCTCTCCAGATTGTTTATGACTGTTAGATGGGATTGGTGCCCTTAGGGGACATGACTAGTTACCTCTCTCCATTCTGAAAACTGATCATTTATTCCGACCTCTTGTTTCCTGTCTTTTACCAATCCGTGATAGGACTTCCCTTTTATCCCATTACAGCTTATTTTGCTTTAAGAGCCTTTTGTAAGAAACCTTGTCAGAGGCTTATGGGAAATCGAAGTGCACTATATGCACTGGATCTCCTTTATCCACGTTTGTTTGACCTCCTCAAACAGTTATCGTAGATTGGCAAGGCATGATTTTCCTTTACAAAAACCATGTTGACTTCCCCCAACAAATAATGTTCATCCATGTCTCACAATTCTGTTCTTTAGTTTCAACCAGTTTGCCAGGTACTGAAGTTAGACTTACCAGCCTGGGATTGCCAGGATCACATGTAGAACCCTTTTTAAAAATTGGCATCACATTAGCTATCCTCTAGTTATTTGGTACAGAAGATGATTTAAAGGGTAGGTTACAAACCATAGTTGGTAGTTCTGCAGTTTCACGTATGAGTTCTTTCAGAACTTTTGGGTGAATGCTATCGGTCCTGGTGACTTGTTACTGTTTAGTTTGTTCCAAAATCTCCTCTAAGACCTCCAATATGGGACAGTTCCTCTGTTTTGTCTCCTAAAAGGAATGGGTCGGGTTTGGGATTCTTGTGAAGATCTAAGCGCTCCTTTAGCATCTCAATTGTCCAGTGGCCTCCTTGGTTGTTTAGCAGGCTTCTTGCTTCTGATATACAGTAAAACTCCAATTGTCCGGCATCCAGTGGTCCGGCACTCCTGATAGTCCGGCACCAACTGGAACCCGGAAGTGCTCCAGCCAGCCGGACAATTGGAGCTCCTGTGAGCCCCACGCACGCTCATGGGCCGGGAAAGGGGAGGGGAGGAGAGGGGAAGGAAATTATACCCCTGTGACAAGTCTGCTGGGACCCGCACTGCGGCCGGCGGGGTCAGCGAACCCTTCACGGTTTTGCAGGGAGCCAGGGGAAAGCCCTGCGTAGCTGCCTGCTGCTGGCCAGCTGGGGCTGCAAGTAGCGGCGGAGGAGAGGGAGCGAGGCGAGGGGCGGCGCTGCAGGACCAGGGGAGGAGAGGGGAAGGAAATTATACCCCTGTGACAAGTCTGCTGGGACCCGCACTGCGGCCGGCGGGGTCAGCGAACCCTTCACGGTTTTGCAGGGAGCCAGGGGAAAGCCCTGCGTAGCTGCCTGCTGCTGGCCAGCTGGGGCTGCAAGTAGCGGCGGAGGAGAGGGAGCGAGGCGAGGGGCGGCGCTGCAGGACCAATCCTGCAGCACCCCAGCTGCTCCCCCAAGTCCACCATTCATCAGTTTC